AATGATTCCAAGATGATGACATGTTTAACCCCACCTTCCAGCTTAGCCAGCTCTTCTCCTAAAGGTGGTCTAGTATTCTTATTTGCTGAGTATCTACAATATGTGAGCTTCCTCTGTTATTCCAACTTAGCCACCACTCAACTACTTGTTGAAAAAAATGGTTTAACACATTGGCTGGCTTTGTAAAACATAACCATGTTCAAATTAATGGTGGTTTTCCAAATATGACCAATTTCTTGGATTGAAACAACATACAGAACCATAAGCTAGTTCTATGGGGTTGGTTTATACATCATGGGAGGCTAAAATGTAAATAGTTTACTTATGTTTCATGGGATCATTGAATACACCCAATATGTAAATGAAGTTTCTGTTATTCTTCACATATTTACCTAATACTATTGTGAAGTACAGAATTGGAGTTATTCCTACGTAACATGACATTTTCCCTTATTTTACATCTTTCTTGATGATATCCTTTTATCTGTTCAAAGTCTGATCATAACATCTGAGATAACAATAACACAACATCCTAAGTTCTTGGGAAGAATTTGATGTGTACAGAAGGCCAACACCAGTTAAATAATTGGCAGCTATGATTTCACATATTTCTAAATAATAATAATAATATCAACCATAATAATGTCACCATTACTGCTTTCCTTTTACACAATTATTGGATCTCCATTTGAAAGTCTTCATTGACCAATTAAAATTTATTTTGACTTGTTCTTCCTCACGTGAACCAGTAGAAAAATAGGGAAATGTAAAGACCTTCAAATACAGATCAAGCAAATGTGGAAAAAGAAAGTTGGTAATGCCAATAGTAGTTGATGCACTTGGTGCTACCCAAAAGATCTGGCAAAGCACTTGGACACCATAAAAATAGTCAGAATCTCAACACATCAATTAAAAAGACAGCATTACTTGGAACAGTGCATATATTACGATGGTCTCTTTAACTATTCCAAATCCTTGAGAAGGAACCAATAGTGAAAAGTACCAAATTCTGTAAGAACTACTTGTTGGATTGGTAATAAATAACAATAATAGTAACTCCCTTTTTATGATCCTGTAATCCCTTAGTTCAGGGTAGAGTCAGGCGACTGGATGGAGCTGAGCATTTACTGGCCGGATGCCCTTCCTGATGCCAGGCAGAGTTTGCAGCAGATTTTTTTTTCTTTGAGACCTAGAGAGAAACATCTGCAGCTACCTGGGATTGAATTCTCAATCTTCCAAGTGGGAGGCAAGCTTGTTCACCACTAGGCCACCACACCAGTCTAAATAACAATAACAATAATTCATTGTGTTTCTTATCCAGAAGACACTCAACGATGCTAACTAGAAAAAAAAAATACAACACGGACAAGTAAAATCAGATTTTGAAAAATTAAAACAACTCTTTCAGATTGGAGTGGCTAGGCGTAAAGCAGGAGAACATTTTGTCTCTTCTAGAAGAAGGAAAAACATGGTTGCGGAGATAATTACCATATGAAAAAATCCCTTTGCATAACTTGACAGCAACATTGATGGGGGTCATTTTCCATGTATTGAACAAATGGAGAACTTATTTCAGAGGGCATATTTTAGTTAGCCTCTTTTTTCCTGCTGATCTTAGTAGCAGGTTTATGTTGAGATAGGCTTTCTGGCTCTCAGAAAGTCTGCTTTTACTAAAGATGCCTTCTCACTTTGTACACCTCTCCCCCAATTAATTATATTCATATCTGTTCTCCTAATTTCCCCCCAGTGTTGTCACTTTGTTCACACAGGAATTGCTCGAAGGCCTTGACAGATTCAGCTGTCCTTTTCTGCACCTTTTCTGTGGTAAAGTAGCATACATTGAGGCTCTGTGCAGGAATCTAAACCCTTTTTACTTGAATGCATTCTAGGAAGGGAAAAAATCTCATCTCTTGAGATAATGGCATCATCTGTCTGACTGTTAAAGTTATTATCCTATATTTTGCATTTTGGAACAATGAAGAATATGGCCCTCTACATATTTTTCAGGTATTTGAAACTACTATCCTATTATTTGCTTGCTTACTTTGGTACTTTTAATGGAACTTAGTTTTTAGCCTCCATCTTCTTCATTTCTGAACCCTCCAGTTTATGTCTATGGAGAATCTCAGTCATCCAGCTCATGGTTGTTCCAAAGGTGCTGGACTTTCTTGGTTTTTACCTCGAAAATGTTTTGCTTCTACACCCGAGAAGCTTCTTCAGTTCTGACTGAATGGTGGGGAACAGAAGGATTTATAAGCTTTGCAGAATAGAAATGTGTTGAATATAATATAAATGAGTTATGTGAAGCATATAAATCCTTTTATTCCCCACCACTCAGAACTGAAGAAGCAAAACATTTTTGAGGTAAAAACCAAGAAAGTCCAGTTGCTTTCCCAAAAGCACCTTTGGGATTCTCCAGTTTATCTGAATTGAAATGCAAACCCTGAAATGGAGGTGATCCTCAGGACTGTGACAATATATTTTGGGAGTTGCAATGTCAGAACAGCACATATTATGTAGACTGCATTGGCACCAAAGATTTGTATCAATGAGCTCACAATACTGACAGGTCTACTTAAGAAAACATTGTTTTCCAAAGGGCAGCAAAAGATATTTCTGATTGGTCAAGGGCTGTAATATCATTTATTTTTCTTATTGTCAAAAGATACTTAATTTTTGCAAGGTGGCTGGCCATCTATTACCTCCAATACTAGAAAGCAGTATATCTCTGACATTGGTTGTTGACTAACACTAGATGGCAGCACTTAGCTAACTTTGGTTGATCTCAAAAAGTTAAGGTTGGATCTACAATGCTCAAGTTAGATTAGAACCATGATGGTGAACCTATGGCACACGTGCCAGAGGTGGCACACAGAGCCCTCTCTGTGGGCACATAAGACTTTGCCCCCACTCAGCTCTGCCATGCATGCGCGACTCCCACCAACCAGCTGTTCTTCAGGCGCATGCACAAGGGACATGGGCGCATATGCAGGGCAGGGCGCATGCATGGTGGATGCGCCCATATTGCATTTTGGGGATATGTGCGCTTTGGGTACTCAGTGCCGAAAAGGTTAGCCATCACTGGATTAGAACATCAGAAAATCAGAACTATGAATTAGAATATTTAGCTGCAACAATCAGATGATAGTGGGAAACCATGTTTGAATTGTACCCTTAAAAAGTATATTTTGTCATCAGTCCTCATACTTGACTCAAAAGAGGCTTGATCTTAGCTGTATCTATGACCTTATTGCCCTTTCCCCTTCTACTTTCGCTCTCCTTAAAAGTACAGTACAGGTAGTTCTTGACTTACAACAGTTCGTTTAGTGAACATTCAAGGTTATAATGGCCCTGGAAAAAAGTGACTTATGACTTGAGCAAAATTCACATGAGCAAAATTCAGATGCTTGGCAACGGACTCCATTTTGTGACTTTCTGACAAGCAAAGTCAATGGGGAAGAGCCAGTGATTCATTTAGCAACTGTGGCAAGCAAGGTCGTAAAATGGGGCAAAACTCACTTAACAAATGTCTCATTTAGCAACAAATTTTGGGCTCAATTGTGGTTGTAAGTCGAGAACTATCTACTGTATAGTAGACTGGAAACAGGTTTTTGATCTGGCTTTGTAGGGTATTATCACTTTAGACTTCAGGGCTGTTCTTCTGTGTAATTAGAGGTTTCCTGCATCCAAAAAGTTTCACAAGCAGAGAAACATTGGATCATTTTGGTGGTTTGAACTGGCACAAGTCGATCTACCTTGAGAACTAGACCATATTATACCTTTTGAAGCTGTGGCAGACAGAAATCCAGACCTAATCTCATCCTGTTCTTTTTAAAAATATTTTTATAAGCATGGCAGCTCAGTATTGCAATTTTTTTAAAAATTGACAATTAATAGAATATGATTCTTATATTTTTATGATTCTTATAAAGTATTTTTATGATTCTTATAAAATATTTTAATATATATGTTGTAGGTAGTTGCTAGGAGTCAGAAACAACTTGATGGCACATAGGCAATAAAATATTTAAATGCTGAATAATTGGAAGGTCTTTTTTTAAATAATTAGTTGGGGTTTCTTTTGTTTCTTATTCTAGTTTGTATTTCATTGTTTGTCAACCTTTTGCATTCTTATCTTTTATATTAAGAAATACAATTAATGTAAAATATACATTAATAAAGTATAGAAAAGAGGTCATTGCAATGCATTCCAGTGCAGATTTATTTAATAATCAGCTGGGCCTAAACCCAGGTGTATTATCCAGTACAAATACATTATCTGTATCCTGTTTTCTTGAAAAAAAAACAACAGGAAAAAACCTGAAAAAAGGGCAAGCCTGAAAAATCTCATATTTAGAAACTTTCCTTTTTTAAAAAAAACTTTGCTTCACAAAACCAAGAACAAAACCGGGAAAATAATTAAATGTAAAGGACAGCTTTATGAAAGAAAGGACTCTTTATTACAAAGGAGGCATGGTTGCTATAATTATATGAATCCCCAAATGTATTTATTTATTATTTATTTATTTATTTATGTCAATTGCTTACAAGATAATAGGTATAAGTAAAAGACATGGGTATGAATACATGAATACATATAATAAAAATAAAAATAAATAAAAATAAAAGAAACAATAGGGCAGGGATGCTTGTGCACGCCCAATTAGAACAATACATTTCATCGGGGCCTAATTCAAAACCACCATAGGCATAATTTTAGTATGGTAACATTCGTGGTTAGGACGCTCCCAGCATTCTGCACTAATGCGCGTGAGTTTGCACGGTTCTTTCCCTTCACGTGGGCGACCCGGCCAGCATCCTACAAAAAGCCGGAAGTCTTCTCCAGGCAGCCACCGCGTCGTCACCTCTACACTTTTCTTTCTCTCTCGTCTTCCCGCCTGCGCCCTTTTTTCTTTCTTTCCCCCTTCCCTCTCTTCGGCGCATGCGCCAAAAACCCTTTACGGGCGCCGGCCCCCCCTCCCTTCCAGCGGATGGCCAGACTTAGAGAGAAGGGGGCGAGAGTCTCCTAAGCTCCAGAAGCGGAGCTCGCTATTCACCGAAGCGGTTTGCGCCGCCGCCGTGACGTCAATGCCATAGGGCGCCCGTGGGCTTTACGCCGCTAGCGCAAAGGCGTTGCTCTTTGCCTGCTGGGGAGGAGAGGGACAGAAAGAGGCTTAAAGAGACAACAGCGAGCCATGGAGGGTCTGGAGGGGAAACGACCTTTGGGTCCCCACCCTTGAAGAGCCCGGACGGGGGAAAAGAAGCTCAGGTGAGTTGCGACGGAGTGAGAGGCGGCGGCTTTTTACCCCTGGAGGGCTTTATTTTGTAGGGAGGGGGTTTCTCTTCTTGAGTAGGCTTGCAAGCAAAGGGGGGAGTGGGAGGGCGCCCTCTTGCATGTGCCCCAATGTGGGGAGCCGCTGGTGGCGGAAGGGAGAAAGAAGGAGTAAGTTTCAGTTTGTAAGGCGGAGAAGAGGAAGAGGGCTTTTTTTCCCCCCTTACATTTTGCAAGGACTATTATTACTTTGACTATATTTAACAGGGCAAAGTTTAGTGCAACCTCCCCTCGCCCTGCCCTGTACTTTTTCTTCACCGTTTTATGGAGGGTGCGGGGTGGTGCTTGGAAAGGCGGCTGGAGAAACGAGGAAGCTTAAAGAGGAGGGTTTGGCTGGAAGGCCTTCCTGTTGCTTCCTTCCTCCCCCCCCCCCAACCTAGTTTGGTGGAAGGGATGCTGAGCAGAAAAGGGGTGGTGGTGACCTAAGGACGGTACCCCACAGTTTTTCCTCTTAAAGAAGCCCAGCCGGCTCTATGCCTTGCCCCTTCTCCTTGTCTCTGCATTTATGTGATGCGTGGAAGCATTCATTGGTGCTTGCCTTGCAAGGTTCACAGACACCGAGGTTTATATAACTTCCCACCCTGACGTTCTTCCCCTCTTCCAAAATCTCAAAGGGCTTCAAAACTGGAAAAACTGAATTTGGGGTAGGGGAGGGTTAGGAAGGGGGAAATTGTGTACTTGGAGATGGAAGCGGGGTTTGCTTTTTTGAACCTTTGCAACCGAAAAGAAGCAACAGCATGCTAGGCCTGTACTTGATTTTGATTTTTATATATTTATATATATACATATAATTCAGAGTGCTGAGTTTATCTGATCAAAAATATTTTTTCTACAAAAATAAATAAAACATAGTGGAGGTGGATTGAGGGCGGTGGTTAGAGCTTCTGGGCTTCCTTGCATGTTAAGATGCTTGTTTGTAAAAGGAAGAATAAGATGGAAAGTAAACAGGTGAGCCCTAGTTTTCTTTAAGTGCCCCTTTTCCCCTCCTTTTCCTTTTCCATTGGTAACCAGCTTTTCCACCCTGGTTGGTCTCTCTATACCTCAAAACAAATTATTACTAATCTCCATAATCAGGGCGTGTTTGTGGAAAAGAAAAAAAGAGGAGGCAGATGGAAGAAGGAAAAGAGCGGAAGGAAGGAAATTAAAAATTCTATCAAAGGGTTTTGTGTTTTGGCATGATATTCATAAACTGAAGATGGGTGCAATTTGGGGAGTGGGGGAGAGATGGGGCTATATTTAATTTTTCTCCTTTATTGAATAGGTATCTTGGACCCAATTGAATGAACCTTTTGTTTTTCTTCCAGTTTTCCTTCTATTTATTTACACATAAGCATGAAGATTTAACTTCTGGTCCTCCAGGCAACTGTCAATGTTTTAGATGGTGTTATTCCCCAGCCCCTGTTTCTTATTGCAGTCCTTTTTGTGATGTATCTTTTTGTGTTTTAAGCAGGGGAATTCCATGCAGCAACCACAAAGCCTTTGTGCTTACCCCCTCCACAAAACCTGTGCTTTGTTTTGTTCAACCTGAGTTGTAAATTAGAAGATGGTTTCAGGAGATGCAAATGTTTGTAGATTAGATCTAGTTTTGCATGACAGTTGAAAACACAGTAGTTGCACTAAGTATGGGCAGAAGAAATACTTTTGTTTGTGTACAACATGTATGACTTATTTCCATATTGTTGAAAACTAAAGTGCTTTTCAGGGTTAAATACAAAGTATTTTAACAGTATCGCTTTCCCCATAACCTCTATTTTCTGTGGTTCTTTTATTCCCGCAGACTATAGATTGCTCTGCATTGGGTGTCTATATTTTTAATTTCTGCAAATCAACTTAAGTGAATTCATGCCAGATTGTAAAGCAAGTTGATCTTGTTGGATATTGCCCCCCTCCCTTTCCAAAAGGTGTTTGTAATTGTATTCATAAAAGCCAGTTTCTTGCCTTTATTTATTTCAGGTCTTTCTAGATCTGAAATTGAAAGCGTGTGAAATCCTTTGCCAAAGGAACTACAGACCAGGAAATACACAAGGTTCCCCTCACCCCCGCTTTCTCTGCAAAGAATGCTAAAGGTTAGTTTTTATAAATAAAATAGGGAGGAAATTCTGAAGTTACAGAATAAGGACATATGGGAACAGTCTTGTTTAATTAAGATGAGGGAATTCAATGCATGTGCCAAGTCTGAGAGGCAAAAATAAAATAAAATGATCCTTTGCTTCCTTTCTTTTTTCTCCATCCAAATCCATTTCCATCCCCTACCAAAAATTTAGATGATGAGGCTCTTAAGGCTTCACCCTCTTTGTTTTTACCTCTGAGGTATGGTCTATTTAGGCTGAGAAGTACCTGACTTAAAGCTTCAGGTTTGGAAGGAATTAATGTAAGTTTTTCTTTTGTTAGGGTAGTTTCAGATTGAGTTTATTTCGAACAAGGTGAGCCTGTTAGGCGTTAACTCTGGTTGCATGAAGTCTTTGATCTTGAACCACCTAGTAGTAGCTGCTGGCATGTGCAGAACTGTGTATCTGTTCTGCGGGCAGGAAAGAGTGTGCCATGACTTGGCTGTTAACCTTTGCATGTCTCCAGGAGAGGATTTCCCTTGCATGCATATTTGCACACTGAGAAAGACACTTAGAAATGTGACACTCTAGTCAGCTGTTCCTAAAGCATAAATCAAGTTTGTCATTTACAACTCCCAGAATTCCTAGGCAACCCTTGGTAACAATCAGTATAGCGTGTGGATGGTGGCATAGTAATAGCCTTCTCTGTGTTACTATGTAGAAGTAAATGTTAGCAGTTCTGGAGCTTCCTTAACAAAGAATCCAATCTGTTCTTACTCTAGAATTCCCCCATTGTTTTGAAGATTCCCTTGCCATGTGCAGCTACGGTACAGTGCCCATTTTAAGCCCGCACGCCATCCTAGTGAGGCTGCAGTAATATTGCATATGCTTCTCAGGGCGCTCTGTCATATGGCTTTCTGAGATAAACATTAATTATTTAACAGACTGGTTGATGTGGAAAGTAGAAAATAAAAAATAATCTGTCTTTGTTTGCTTTTTTTGTTGCTTATGTTTGAGAAAGGTGCATTCTCGTGAAAGCAGCAGCTTGTCTGGAACAATTGAGGAGAAAAAAAAAACCCTCCATCGTATTTTTACTTGTTCCTGTTAGTTGACTAAGACAGAAAATCTAATTTTTGACCATTTTGGGAGAGCAAGGAATATGGCAGGAAACATGTGGGTGATATAATCAATTATCTTTCCAGTTCGGTTCCCTTTTTCTCCTGAAGCTATCTTGAAAAAAATACTGTCATGGGATGTAAAAGGCCGGTGTTAAATAGCTGTTCTGTTCGTCACCAATGTCACAGTGCTACTGTGTGAGTGTTAATCATTAAGTTATTTGGACTGTTGATTTTCACATTTGTGTCCTGGGACTACTGGGTAATATTATTTGCTGATCTTTGGTGAACAAAATTAGTGCTGAGATACAGGTTTTCTTTAAACAGAACTTGTCAGCTGTGATTGATCTTTCTTTGCAGGACATTGATGTGAATGGCAAGGTAAGTGGCTTAAATGCAGTTTTGGTTCATGTAGGGTGAGGTGTGACAAAATTGCCCAGGGCCATCCAGGATAGGAGAAGATGCTTTTTAAATGACTCTCATTTAGAAAGAATGTTTAAAACCATGATAGAGGACTAAAATATGTGGAAAATGTTGTCTTAGAAATGCTTGGCCACAACCTTAAATGTTTTTTTTTAATTCATTGAACCAAATAAATATGAGGTACTTAATTTTGGGAATGGTGCAAGAATTACAGAACCAAATTCAGTTCTCAACTCTTCTTTCCTCTTATAGAAAACATTCTTCCCCACCTGTCTTGCAGGAATAGTGTAGAAGCTTTCATCTGTTTTGTTTTTTTTAAAGCTGCTTTAGACAAAATGAGCTGTGCGAATGTCATCGCAGGAGTTAAAAAAAATAAGTGACTCAGCAAATGGTTGAATGCACCAAGGAATTTTGTTCTACGTAGAAAGCTACTGTTCCTTATCAGCAAATATTGGACAACAATTCCCATCAGCCCCAACTAACCTGTGGTCATGAATTAAGAAAACTGTATTCCTACAGTTCAAATGAGCAACAGATTCCCATTCCTTCAGGAAGCAAAAAAACTAGCTCCGGGCCCATTCCTTAAGAATGTGCATCATCAATTGAGCCAAGGCTTTTTCAATAACAAGACAAGGTATTAGCCCTTCCTTTTTGGATGCAAATAGTCCTCATTTAGCAACTGCTTCATTTAGCAATCATTCACAGTTATGACAGTGAATGAAAAAGTAACTTTACCAATCCTTGCATTTATGACCTTCGCACATCTATAAAGGAAAGGAAAGCTGAAGCAAGATCATTTAAGTATAGTCAGTTTCATGTAGGGACTGCCTCATGAATGGTTGAATGGCCAGTACTTGTTGTGGTCACTAAATGAGGACTACCTGTTTTAGTACTAGCAACAGAGGTATGCTGCTTTTGAACGGGGAGGTACTTTTAAAGTTGGGAGAGAGCAAAGATCTGCTTATATTTATATTGCTTTCCTCAGTACTCAGAACAAATTCGAGCTGTAAAGCAATAATTTAGAGCTCTCTTTTGCATCTGTTGCATAGGCAGTTTAGGCTGCCATTCAATATATGAACTCCATTTAGCCAACTGTGGTCGATAGGCTTCTCTGTCATACATTAGTTAACTCTGCCTCTTTCTTTTTAAAAAAATCTGGTTTTCCACATCAATAAGCATCCATGCATTCTTATGCTTTAGAATAGCAGTTCCCAAACTAGAAGCTTTAAGGGTCAAGTCCAGACTTGTTAAGCCATCATATTGAATGTTTCTGTATGGAATTGATGCTCTGGTGGATTAGATTAGATTACAGTTTCTGGCCTCCCGTGGCAAATGGGTATGCTGGCTAGTAGTTATAGAGTTGGTTAGTCAAATCAAGAGGGGGAGGGCTGTTAATGAGTGTGCTATGATATCCCCCTCATTTCTTAAAGATATGATCAGTCATGCCAGTCTTAAGTGTTCACATGATAAATTCATAAGCACCAGCTGTGATCACAGTCACAAGAAGATCCCACAATAATACTTATTGTGTAGGTAGTAGGTGAATTCATTTCTGCCTTTGTTTCTGATTCATTTTAGGGTTAGGGTTGCTACCTATATTTTTTAAACAACAAATGTGGAACAGTAAAATAATAAGTGGAAGAAATAAAATCTTAACTTGAGTGAACTGGAAGTACAAGGAGAGGGAGTTGATTGGGATACAGTCGTGTGCATGTATGTGTGAGAATATATTCTTACAGTTGCAATAGTGGAGAATATGTATAACTCAAGAGTGAATTATTTGACTTTGGTACTTTCTGAGCTCGGTGTTGAGCATTAATAATGTTACCTAATTTAGCAAATGTTTAGCTTGTGCAATGGATGGCCTATTATTCATAGAATCATAGAGCTGGGAGAGACTTTGGAGGTCCTACTTCAACCCCCTGCCTGAGGCAGAAGTTTTATGCCATCCCAGGTAAATGGCTATCGTATCTTTTCTTGAAAACTTCCAGAAAATGCAAATTTAAAACCAAGTTCAGAGAACACCCCTGGACAATTCTCATAATTTGTTAGGAAAGTAGAATAAAAATAATAAAATGGTATGAACTTTGTGCATTCAAGATACATTAGGACTGCAGGTCCCAGGATTCTCAGTGTCTGGGCATATGGGCTATAAAATAAGTGGGAAGACAGGTAGTCCTTGACTTACAACAGTTCATTTAGTGACCATTCAAAGTTACAACGGCGTCGAAAAAAGTGACTCATGACCGTTGTTCACACGACCATTGCAGTATGCCTATGATCAAGATTTAGATGCTTAGCAACTGGTTCATATTAATGATGATTGCAATGTCCTAGGGGTCATATGATCAGCTTTTGCGATCTTCGGAAAAGCAAAGTCAATGGGGAATCCGGATTTACTTAACAACCATGTTACTAACTTAACCTGGCTGGGGAATTCTGGGAGTTGAAGTTCACACATCTTAAAATGGCCCAGGTTGAGAAACAGTGTTCTGGCTTTTTGACCATACCTTAAATAAGTTAGAAAGCAGTACTGCAGGCTATTTCTGCTGCAGCAACTGCCTGCAATTTGGCAGATCGAATCTCACCAGGCTCAAGGTTGACTCAGCCTTCCATCCTCCCAAGGTGGGTAAAATGAGGACCCAAATTGTTGGGGGCAATATTCTGACTCTGTAAACTGCTTAGAGGGGGCTGTAAAGCTCTATAAAGCGGTATATAAGTCTAAGTGCTATTGCTATAAAGAGCAGGCCAGTACAACAGGCCACATGCAACTTGCCAAGCAACCTTGGGTGACCAGTGGCAGTTTTTGAAAAGCAATCTGCTGCCACCAAATATTGCCACCACCAGGTTCTGCCATACACATTTTCCCTCCAACATCTCCAGGCCTTTTGGACCCTGCCAGTTCCAATGTTGCACTGCTAAACAGAGGATCTGCATGCCAGCTATTCCTTAGCAGCCCAAGATTATTTTTTAAAGGTTTCTTTCCACCTCTACAAGTTGTGCAGGCTGGTCTAGAGACCAGAACTACTCCAGGCTTCAAATAGATGTCTGTTATACATATACAAGTAGTCTTTGACTTACAACAGTTCATTTAGTGACCGTTCAAAGTTTACAATGGTAACTTATCACAGAAGTCAGTGAGAAAAGTGACTTACGACCGTTTTTCACACTTAAGAATGTTGTAGCGGTCTCCATGGCCTTGGGATCAAAATTCAGACACTTGGCAACTGACTCATATTTATGACGGTTGCAGTCTCCTGGAGTCATGGAAATCATCTTTTGTGACCTTCTGACAAGCAAAGTCAATGGGGAGGTCAAATTCACTTAACAACCATGTTACTAACTGAATGCAATGATTCACTTAACAACTGTGGCAAGGAAGGTCGTAAAAAAGGGGCAAAGCTCACTTTGCTTAGCAACAGAAATGTTGGGCTCAATTGGGGTGATAAGCCGAGGACTATCTGTACACCCTATATTTGG